GTCTGACAGGCAGGAAAATACACTTTTTTATTTCAAAACTACTTTTCATCCTCTATTTTCTGTTTTTCTATTCTTATTGTCCTCCTCCATTGCCTGAAAAATATTTTAAATAAAACCCATAATTTATATTTTAATTATAAACTACAGACATTATATCAGTAGCAACCTGACTTGGAATCAAGGGAAGTATCCGAATGTTAAATGTTTCCAAGGGAGAAGCGTTTTACTTTGTTAAAGAAAAAAACACAAATCCTGTGCTAATTTGGGCAATAGGTCCCCCACACTTTTCTTTCTAAAGGTAGATAACTGATTTCCAGAATTAATATTTCACTTATTTCACTGTTGGGAGAAGAGATACAGTTTAAGAACTACCTGTCTTTCATTAAGCATGAAAAGAACCACCAGTATGACGACAACTTTGTATACATACATATATGTACCTGATTTATATATTTTACTTTGTTTACGTACGTATAGCATCTGAGTACTCACTCTTTTCATATCCTATACCCCTTTACAATTTCTCAAGATTTTATTGGTTTGATTTGTTGATGGGAATAAGTATTTTTGCCTTCATTTATTAGATAGATTGTTATTGTTGTTTTTTTAATAGTATATGTTTACAGTACATAATGATTACATTCAATGTGGAGAGTTGGTACATGTACTTCACACATTCCAATTACTTTTCCTTCCCCTTCCACTCCACTCCTTCTTGCCGCCTCCATCTCTAGATCCCCTTCCATATATGAAAGAAAATATCTTTCTCACTCTTTTTTGAATCTGTCAACTATTATTTCATGGGAGAAAACAGTTGTTGTAAAACCCTGAGAGAAACCAAAGGCAAAGCTGCCTCTCCTACAAAGGCCTTAGTTAGGAGCAGGAGTAGCAGAAACTTCAATAGAAGCTATGCCCCAGTCAGAAGCTTCAACAATGCCTGATATTTACTGAGAATATTGTACTTACGATACAAAAATATTGGTAAGAATATCATCACAAATCCAATTATGCCTTGGTTATATTTTAAGAAAAAAAAAGAACAATAAAGGAAACAAGCTTGATAAACATATGTAAAATACAAGAGTAGTAATCTATCTATCTATCTATCTATCTATCTATCTATCTATCTATACACTCCAAATGATGTCTATCTATATCTATTTGTGTAAATATATACCGAAATATTTGCCTACATCTCTGCTAAAAAGTTTAAGGTTTAATGTGAGTTGTTTCCTATGCATAGTAGTAAGAAAAAATGCAATCTTCATTCATATTTCCAAGGCTATTGAAGAAGTAGATGGTTAGTATGAAACAGAAAAGAAGCTATTGAATTGTTACTGTGGATTTTGTAGTTGTATGTAGATTGATCTCTAGAAAATCAATAATCACAGAGTTGTGGAGAGCTAAGATAGGAAGCCTAGCTTGAGCAATTTAAGTACTTTACAAAACCCCATCTTGAAGTAAAAATAAAAAATAAATAAAAAAGATGGGAACATAGCTCAGTGTAAAGGCCTAGGGTTAAACTATTAGTGTGAAAAAAATCAGTATTACTTATGAAAGTAGATATCTATAAGTATTCAGAGAACACATTGGATAGTTCATAAACAACACAGATATGTGCATAGGGTACCATGAATTTGTACCTGATTAGGAAAACTAAAACTGCAAAACATTATTTGTGGTAAATATTACCTACTACTTGATTACATAAGCTTGCTTTGCCTAATTAAAAAACATGTACTTTATAATATGAGTTAAGGAGGTTCTTATAGCTGAAAAAGTAATAGTTAAATATTCCATTTGTTGCCTCATATGTATTAGAAATGTCAGATAAGGCATGCTTGCATGTTTACGTATACAAAGTTTAAAACTAACTGCTTCATACATGGGAAATGATTCTTCAGGTACCACCTCAAGTAATAATTTCTTGTTTTATGGAGAGTCTTATGAAACCAAATAATATAATTGTAATTGTTTGTAGTGATGGAAAGAAGAATGTAAGAAATCAAAATTTCCCCCAGAGGACTCCATGTAATGTTTTTCTTTTGCACCAACTCAGATAGAAGGGATAAAATTCAGTCACCTTGGGCAATACAAAGTTTGTTCACACATCTGGGAAAGACTTAAGAAGTGAAACATGCTTATGTGTAATCATCTTTCAATCCTTCTTTAAGAGAATGGAAGTTCACCAGAATGTCACCTACAGTACCTAGGAGGAAGGGTAGATGCACCAAGGAAAAATGGTCCTACTGTTCCGTAAATGTTTTCTCACCATTCAGTGTGTGTGTGTGTGTGTGTGTGTGTGTGTGTGTGTGTGTGTGTTTTAAGCATGTGTATGGTCATAAGAACATCTTAGCTTATGTATGCCAGTGTATTTCAGAGCTATGCTGAAAGGCCACAGGTCAGAGGATGAAAAGCAAAAATAAAATAAGATCTCTAACCTGAAGCAAATTACAGTGCTGCTCACCCAGAACATGCCTCTGCTTAAATGCTCCTCTTCACACAGCACATATTAAGTTCAGCAGGAAAAAAAAATTCATGTAATTTTTTGGAAAAATGTTTTATTTAAACCTTTTTAATCTTTACAACAATAAAATATTGTGTAAATATAAATCCCTTAACTAAAACTGTTCACAACAAACATTACAATGAATTGCTTTATTTTTGACACCCAACTCATCATTCAAAGAACTTCCTCTTAAAACACAATGCAGAATTTATTGAAAATAAATAATCGTTGGCAATGGCAATAGGCAATCTGAATAAAATAGTTGAAAAAGCAACTCTTAATGAAAATAGTGTTTATTATACATCAGTTACTAAATGAATAAACTAAATGATCTTTTTAAATTAATAACTTCAAAACGTTTAATATACAAAACTGTACAATTATAAAGTCGGCTGAAATATTTGGGTTAACTTAGGTTTGACTATGTCATTTAACAGCAAAGAAATAAACTAGATAGAAACAAAACAAAAACACCAAAGAGTTTGTGAAACATGAACTCAGTATGGAAAATTCAATCCCAGAACTACAGAATGAAGTTTAATTACCTACAGAATGAAGAGGATTGACAAAAAGAGTAAAAGGGTCTGGAATTTGAATAAATGCTTTCAACCTGCAGCTGGAGAAACACAGTGTGCTGAACCAGAGGCCTGGCAGCCCATGGTAGTGCCTTCCCACAAGGGCCCAAGGCTTTCTGGTCCTAAGGTAGTTTGATGCTTTGTCTACTGCTGCTACTCCCAGAGGCCAATTTGGCGAAAAGCCCGACATAAGGAGCCCCCAGCCAACTACCAGAGGCAACTCATTGTGGCTTTCTTGGCCCGCCCAGCACACGTGAGCTTCTTGGGAGTGAGGTGCACCTGTGAACCTCGCGTGTGGACATGAGAGCTAGCAATAAAGCCAAAACAACTGTATATTTTTGGGATCTCTACATAACCTAGCGAATTTTTTGTAGTTTTTTTTCTTTCTTTTTTTTTTTGTATAGAGTAATACAATACTCATTGCTATCTACACACACGTTTGCACGCGCACGTAGGCACACACTCACAGACACTTACGCACCGCACCGAGAGATAAAAAAGCTGAAACCTAGTGCCCCGGCGCTGGCTAGCTTGACCGATCTTCTCTTGCGCTTCCATGAGCTGTACTTGTCAGAATCAAGCTAAGGGCACACTCACAGACAGAGTATATACACTAAAAACAAGGGTACTGGTTGGAATAAAATCCCCGTGAACTTTGCCCATCACTTCATCTTCGTTCTGCACAGTACGGAATGCCTGTCCATCCACTCCAGACCACCCTTTCCTGAGGGTTTCTCACATAGAGAGCGGGTTTTAAACTGGAGGTGAATTGAACCGGGAGGCGCTGGCGAGGTCAGGCATTAGCTTCTCCCCGCTGCGGTCGCAAGGAAAGCAATCCCTTGTGACGACAAAGTCTCATAGAGCCGAGATGCAGTCCTGCAGTCGTTCGATCTGGCAAGGCTAGAGGTCTGTATAGAGATCCACCAATAGTTATTCAGAACCCCGATGTAAAATCTTTCTCATCGCTCAGATCGTCGCTTTTCGCTAGGCGCCACAGCGAAATCCTCCGACATCGGGATTTCAACTGTTGTAGCGTTGGGGGCTCTATATTTCCAGAACATAGGGCAGAAAGCTCGAAGATGCCTCCCCTACTTGGCGCTAGTTTGCAAATCTAATCCGGTTGCCTATTCTGCCCATTCTAGGCACTCCACTCCCGTGGGAAAATAACCAATATTCTAATCAACGACTCTTTCAATTATTTCCTCTCCTTTCCATACAGATTTTTGGTGTGGGTGGGTAGGCATTTCTCTCCTTCTTCCCAGCCTCCTCCTATTCTAAGCAATTAAAAAACCATCAGCTCAAAGACAGAATAATAATAGCAATAATAATGTGAAGTTGTCGATTAGATACAAATTATCTCACAAATATTGTGTACAGCTTGTAGTAAAACACCGTAGACATTTAGAAACGCTATAGTTCTTAAAAATGCAAAACTACTCTATTGTAAAACAGATTTCACCTGAAATACAGCTGCTATAACCAAGGCGCTGAAAGGTTATTCAGAGGCACACATCTGTCTTCCCACCCCAACCCTACTCCCATGTTACCCCACTCTTTGCTCTTCCTAGAGAGGAGCGACAAAACAAATCTTACTCAGTAAACAATATGTATTGACCAGCAAAAACATTGGAAAGAGATTGCCCAGGCAGCAGGAAATATGAGGTCCCCACCTGGACTGTTTAGTATAACTTGGTATCAGAGTTGAGAAGCCTGAATATGAGTATGTGTGTTTCCTTTTTCAACATTAGTTACAATCAGAGAGAGAGAGAGAGAGAAAGAGAGAGAGAGAGAGAGATTAAGAAAGGGGGAGGAAGAGAGAGAGGGAGGGAGAGAGGGAGAGAGGGAGAGAGGGAGGGAGAGAGAGAGAGAGAGAGAGAGTGTTCTAGAGAGAGGGAGAGAGTGAGAAGAAAAGAAATCCGCGCTGCTCCCAGTGCGGCCAGTCGTCTGCTTATTTTCTCGTCAGAGATCGTGGCACGATGTGTCTGTTTTCACCGTTTGCGAATAAACCTCATGTGGTTGTTGATCGCCTGGTGGAGTCATTCTTTTCTCTTTTTGTCTTCTATTACAGAACCAGACACGCACCACTTCTTTCTCCAACTGGAGGCTGTCTGCCAGTGAGGAGATCTCCTGTGCTGCAGGCTTGGGACACTTGAGGAAATGCGTCTCCAGAACGCCCTTGACACTCACCTCGATGGAGGTTCTCTTCTTGCGCTTGCGGCCCTGTGCAGCGATCTTGTCAATACTTGTTGGGCTCCCTGTGGACGAATCTGCTTCCTCAAGCCACTTATTCAGCAGGGGCTTCAGCTTGCACATGTTCTTGAAGCTCAACTGCAAGGCCTCGAACCTGCAGATAGTGGTCTGTGAGAACACGTTGCCATATAGTGTGCCCAGCGCCAGCCCCACGTCAGCCTGCGTAAAACCTAATTTGATTCTTCTTTGTTTGAATTGTTTGGCGAACTGTTCCAATTCGTCAGAGGTTGGCGTCTCCTCATCGGAGTGGTCCTGGCAGTGGTGAGATCCCAGTTCGCTGTGGTCCTGGGGCTCCCGGAGGACTGGGTGCAGGCTTTGTGTGGAGGCGGTGGCTGGTGGTGGGGTGAGTCCACCTTGCTCAAGCATGCCGCTCACCGTGAAGCCTGGCTGGGAGTACACGTTGAGGGGCTGGCCGCTTGAGGTGATGGACGGGTTTGGAGCTGGGCTTGCCCCCCAGGCGTTCGGGTGGTTAGTGTGCGGTGAGTGGTGTGCTACATGTGGTGATCGGTGATGAATGATCGCACCGAGTTGCAGGTCTTCGCGCCCGGGCTTCACGTCCTGCTGGTCCAGAGGGCTAGTGGTCAGTGTGGAAGACCATGGGCTCCCGTCGCTCAGACTGGTCACCCAATGATGCCCCAAGGGATGCCCATTGCCTGGAACTCCTTGCAAGTAATCACTTTGCAGAAGTTTCTGAGGATTGCGGAAAGGACTCCCCTGCTGCATGCCCGCGGAGTCCGCATGGACCAGGGAGCTGGAACTGAGAATGCTGTAGGGATTCGAGGCAGCTGTGGCCATGGTCTGTGAGGATCCCCTACTAGTAATAATGTGGCAAAGGGAGCAGCTTCAGCCTTTGACATCTACGGTGCGGGGGAGCCAAAGCCGCTAGCACGGGTTACTGACACCCACCTTGGCCAATTGGAGGGCGTCTCGGCCTGACCAGGCGTGAGCACAGCCAATAGTGTCACAGTAGGCCGAGCTTGTGTTCCAAATTAGGCTGGCGAAGCTCAAGAGTTTCTGTGAGACCCAAGCAGGAAGTGAATCACTCTTTGGGCTCTATTGGCTGCGTAGCAGAGTGGCGGCGGTTCTTTTGGTTAACCCTTTCTCAGATTCCTCCTCCCCAGCGGTTGATTGTGGTGCAGGAGAAAGGAGGAAAGCTATGTATTTGGAAAAAGAGGGGAGCGAAGTGGCAAATTGGCATTTTAAAACTATTTTTTGATTTACTCAGATTAACAAAAAGCAAAAGAAAAAGTAAGTTTAAATGTCCTTATGATGTTAATGTATAAAAATATTTCTGACTCAGCGTTCTCCGTTAGTGTGTATCAGACTACAAAACAGCGTTTAAAACTTTCAGCAAAGGAACACATTTTATAAAAAGAAGATAAATGAATGAATTCAATATTCCTGTAAGACTAATTCCAGTTTATTTTATTTATTTGATTTTATCACTTATAATAAATTAGATACCAAGATCTGAAAAAAATTAAGAAATTGATGCCCTGTGTCTTCTAAAAAAAAGGCAAAAAACAACAAAAAGAGAGATCTAGATATGAAGAATTGAAAGAATCTCAGAAATTAAAATTTAATATGATGGTGGCAAATATTCAATTGTTTTAAAGCTTGTTTCCAAATTCAGTTTATCAACTGGAAGTTTTGCTTTTATTATTGAATCATATTAATTGTCATGAAAGATACCATAACTTTTGTGAAAGACTGCTTACTGAAGACAGTACTTCTCCCTTACACTTACCACACTCCCAAAAGGCATTCAGGAAAACAATCAGGACTGTTTGCCTGATACCGTTCTCTTGGAAAATTGTTTAAAATATTCACTCACTCCATCTCCTGCCAAAACGAAAAAAATGTGAATCATTTACTGTACTCAAGAAATTCAGAGAGACATCAGGATATTTAGCATCAAGTATTGCTCCTCTTTTTTCTGTATGAAGCTTGAAAAAAATAGGACTACCTTTACACTTTAGTTAGAAGAGAAGCAAGACTTGTTGGAGAATGACAAGTCCCTGTACTCCAAAGCCCCATACAAAGATTTCCCTCAGACAGAATTGAGAGAAATGGAAAGATTTTCAATTTATTCTAGCAACAGAAAAGCCACAACCTGATTACAAATAGAAAGTTTAAATTTTAAAACAAATGACCATTCGTTACATAATTTTGGAGGTAAGTTTGCTGCATAGTTATAGCTGCACTTAACAGAAAACGACATCAGAGTTTCCTTATTGGTTTGAAATTCCATTAAATATATTGCAAGAGCTCCTAGGTTAAGCTTGATTTAAATTTGCATACATTTTCATATATTTAGCAGAAATAAAAGAAGGCTTGCAGCCACCAGAAAGTCATTAAGGCATTAGTTTCTCTAAGAAGACTGATCTGAAGAAAATGCAAGAAAATGAAAAAAAAATCCAAGGTGAGCTTCTTCTGTCATCCGTTTATATAACTAAAGAAAATCTATTTCTTGTTGAATTATTGATTTCTTATGAGAGGTCAGAAACTGATATTGGTAATTGAAAATGTGTTTATTAGGCGGGAAAGCCTGGCATGTTGTTGAGATCTATTTCTTTATTTTCCTCTTAAAAAATATAAATACTTAATAATTATTGGCAGACAGGATCATTTGTCATTTTTTAACTAGCCTCTCCTTTCTCTCTCTTGAAACTGGATCTTCATTTATGAATGTCTTATTGTAAGGGCTTATATATTTTTAAACTGGAAATAGATTTTTTTCTCTCCCCATTGTCCTCTCTCCTTTCGCTCCATCTCTCCCTCCTCTCTGTGCACATGTACTCTTTTTCTCTGTTCTCTTGTCTCCATTTCTTTTCTTTTCTGCAGTGGGACCTCATTTCTTACTGCTAAATGTGTGTCTTTTCTTTCCAAGAATTCAGGAGCATTTGTTTCCCAAATAAATAAAAATTTGTTAAATATCAAACAAGAGTAAAAGTTTTAGGTGCTGTGTTAGGCTGCCTGTTCCAGGATCCATTTGTAAGGCAGTGTAGAGTCAGAGAAAAATGCACTGAAGAAATTTTACATGCAAAAATAATTATGATCACATTTTGCAGCTGTGTCTGGGAGAAAGAGTTGCTAATCTTAGTGTGGCCATTCAGGGGTAAAAATAATTATCAAATGATAAGGCATTTGCTAGAAACAAGGATATCCTTTACCAATTCAGACTTGTCTGAGATTTTACAATTAACCTTTTTCTTACCCATGAATTCTGCTTCAGGTACCGGGTTTTGCCAGCCAAGTAAAAGTGTTTTAAAACATTTGCCAAGAGCCTGAAGGATTGGGGGGCAGGGGTAAGCAAGAAGGGGCAATTAAGCCCAGGAACATGTTTTTAACTACCTTTTCTTTTGCAGTCTTTAAGAATAGCTTCTGTTGGGAACAGAAACCTGGAGCAAAAACCTTATCATCCTCTTTATTTTTTCTCCTCTCCTCTCCCCTCTCCTCCCATTCTTCTCCTTCCCCTCATCTCTCTTTCTATTTTCTTCTCCTCTCCTTTCTTTGTCTCTCTTCTCCTTTTCCTCCTTTTCATCCTCCTCTTGTCCTCCTCATCCTCCTTTTTGCTCTCTCATCTAAAAAGTTGTTTCTCATGAATATATATATTGTTTTTTGAAACTATATGCAATCACATCTTGTAGTGGCTGGGACAGAATCCTCTCTTTATCCAAGATGTTTTTTAAAATAAAATATCTGCATGTAGTCAAATCTTTCTGTTCTTACTAATCTATTGGAGAGGTTTCCTTCACCCTGTCCTGTCAGTCTAACTTCCCAAGTGTAACAGATGCCGCTCAAGCGTTCCTTTCTGCAGCTTCTCTTTATTCAGCTTTGCATATTTCTCCCCATGATCTGGGTTTCCATAGAGAGAAGAATAAAAGGGGGGACCATGGTCACAAATCCCTTGCCCCATGCAAAATAAAAGAGCCTCATTCAATAGACGACCCTGTCTGGACATGGGAGAAAAGTAAGTCCCTGAGAAGCTACTGTTGCAAAGAGCTGGTAACTTACTTATCATATACTGCATTTTGCCTTAAACTCTTAAGTAACCACTGGTAAGCCTTCTCTCTCTGGCAGCTGTTCTAAATCTACACCTTGGTTTGCTCTTCATTCAGATCTTAAAGTGCACTTAGGGTATTCAGAGTCCCCATACTTCCTCTTGAATTATATTTTGAATAATACCACAATAGCTGTAGAACCTATCCAGCCTTGACAGTGAAAATTTGCCGTAGAGAAGAGTCTGGGTTTGAAGTGGGCGAACTTTAATTGTAGTGAATTTACCACCTGTCTCCAGCAAGGCAACTCAAGTTTAAATTCCTGGCACAAGCAAGCACTTGGCTTCATCTTCATTCCTTGTTGAGTTACCTTCAAACTCCAGTTTGTTAGTCCACTTTTTCTAAGAAGGAAATCCTTTTTTTTTCTAAAAGAAAGTCCAGCTGTGTGGATTTATTTATACTGTCATTTATTTGTAAATTTGAGGTTTCTAGAGGCTTTCTTGCTCACAAAATTTAAGATAATAGCTGACCATCTTTGGGAGAGAACCATGTTGCTTCCTCTCCTAACAAGGGAACAAGGACTCACAAAAGAAATTAAGCAGATTATTGTGGGTGAGATCTCTCACTCTTGTGGAAGCATGCTAACATGGCCTCAGCTGCACAGACTGCTCCCAATCTTACTGGAAAAAATGCCTGAGCCTTGTGGATTATGAATCTTGCAGATTTCATATTTGAGTGTAGTTTAGGAATCATTCTCATTATGTGTACAAATTGGGGGACTGGTGAGCAGATGGGTTGGGGGTTGGGAAAGAAATCATTTGAAGGGCTAGATTTGATGTGGTGCACAGGCATGACCTGGAGTCTGAAAACTTCAGCTTCTCTTTTATAAACAGGACAAGATAGAGTGAGAGTGAGATAAATGAATATTTTACTTTTTAAAATACTGCAGCTCATACAGAATGGAAAACAATGTAACAGTTTCTCAAATAAACAAAGAAATAATACTTTTTACTAGTATTTTTATGTTGAGTTCATAAGACATTCTTGATATGTCATACAATTGCACTTCAGAATACCAGACCACTGTCAACCTCTTACGGTTCTCTCCTTTCTTTTCTTCCTTATTTTTTGTGTGTCTTTCTCATTTCTTTTTGCAAACTGTATGGAGGGAAGGAAAGGAACTCCAAGGAGTATAGAGAAGAGATGTAAGAACTGAAAACTGAATTTAGTTGGTATTAATAGGCACTTGCCAGTGATGACTCAAGTTTAGTTAGCTCATTTTTTAGGGTCTTCATTGTCATCTATCAATGTGTGGAAAAGGACTCTTAGAGAAAAGGGATGATGGAGATGGAGAGTGTGACACTGTACCACAAGTAATGCAGCATAAATAGAACAATTTTTAAAAAATAAAATATACAATATGTAAAATTTATTCAAATTGTTCAATGTGGGAAAACATTAGTCATACACTAGAAAAGCAGAATCTAGGTAGAGGAGTACTGAGGTATTGTGCAGCTAGGTCCTTGGACAGGATATTTGCAGCACAGGCACAGACAATAGAGACCCTGAGGTGGAAGAAAAGGATGTTCCTCCCACAGTGGTATTGGTCCGCTCTCATCGATTGATTCTCAGTTTCTCTTCTTGTGTCACCTCTTCAATTGCTCTTACCATTGTCATTGGCTAATATTACCTTCTAGGGTTCCTGATAAAGAAGTCTATGCAGACAGAGTTATTACATACTACACAGCACTTCTATCCTTTTATTAGGCATAAGGATTTGTAATGTCTAAGAAACATAAACAGCACCTGCCAGTCACCTATATTGCACTGCAAATGGAATTACGTTTTAATGGAGTCACAGAA